CATTACGGCATGGACAACACATCTTTGATTTAGTAACTTCTTCACTCACGATGATGAGTAAATAATCACCTAAACTAAGTACGACTCCCTTGGATTTTCTTGATGTAAATCCGAGAACCCTCCCCCTTTGAATCAAAGAAAGATTCGGTAATGACACTCCCCAAACTAACTAACAAAACTCTCATTCCCCTTTTAAGAGGTAATACTCTCTCGAAAAGAAAAGAAGAATAAGAGAAGATGTAGTTTAACTCCTTCACCCTTAAAACCCTTAAAGACTTGGCTCAAAGATTTAAAAGAAGTTTTTGGAGGTTGGGTTGTATGAAAATCTCGACCATGGTACCCCCTTTTATAGGCATAAGATGGATTTTCCTACAAGGACTTTCCAATTAAAAATAGGTCTCACATAAAAGTAATTTTCTTACTTTATTTTGCAAAAATTTCCTCTTTACTAAAACCCTCATAAATTTCCGAATTGAAATCCAAAAATTGGACAAATACTTCCTCCCAAAAGTTTTAAAAACAGCAAGTTTAAGATTTAAAATTTTATTTTGAAAATAAAACACCAAAATTTAGAAGACTTTCCAAACGTATAAAACTCTAATTTCCTAAATTGATTTAGCCAAAAATAGACTAAAAAATAAACAAGTAATTACAAAATAACTTTTAAGAAACTCCTTAATTCCCTAATATTTTATTAAGTAATTTTCACACGAATAAAATCTCTTTCCTTTTTAGCAATTTCCTAAAATGAAATTCGACACACACACATGTTCACACATAAACAAAAAATTTCTTTTTCCACTTGTGATAGGAATTAAAATTTCGGTCACCACATAATCTCAAGTTTTTGAATATATTCAATTAATAACAAAGTTAAAAACTTTTAGTCCACTACTAAAAACCTTCTTTCAATATTGTAATTAAAGTTCAAAAATACTAATCATGCATACTAGCAAATTTTTTCATTTACCAATCTTAACGAACTCATCAAACGAAATCCACATAAAACACATTGGATTAAAAACTCTAAGACCTGATTTTTGAAAACATTTTGTTTAGAGACACATAAAACAAACAAAGTACAAATTAGATACCTTTTAACACAAGCAATTCTGAAAGTCCGTCATGGAAACTCTTATACGTGTAAACCCTAGAGTATAAACCCTCAAACTCAATATCTCATTCACAGGACTCAACAAGAATTAAACCATAAGCCCAATAAGGATAAACTCTTGGAAAATCAAATTCCAAACTAATGAAAAATCTAATCTCCACAAAAAAGGTTCCCTTATTCTTAATAAAGACTTCAAACAATTTCACATTAACCCAAAAGTTCAAATAACACATTGATCTCTTGAAGTTATCTTGCAAATATATTGAATTAAAGATTTTAGAAAACTTCAAATGAAATCACACAAAAGTTGACGAACAACTCGACAGAGAAGTTGACAAAGAACACACAAGTCGACAAGCAAACTGACAAAGAAGCTGACGAGAACACACCGCATTAAGTAGGCATACACCTAAAGCTGACACAAGACTCGACTAGCAACACCTAATGGCGATCATGAATATCTCATTGATTGAAACACCACAAACCATAAATTTTACTTTTAACTGCATAACCTCACAAGTTTTTGAATAAAATTCTTTATAATTGAAGTTACATATCAAAAGCTACATCAAAGGCCTCTATTTATAGGCCAAGGGACGCCCAAGGTCGGCTAGGAGGAAGAGAAAAACAATTACAATCCTTATTCGGATTTCTTAGACTATAAGTTTCCTAAAATTTCTTAAAACATAAAAATTACCAAATAAATAAATAATTGCACATGTCACAATTATTTAAAACCAACTAGAATCTTCAAGAAGGCTAAATTATTTGGCCAATGCATGAAAATTGCGGAAAAATCCTTTTCCCATTTGAACTAGGAAAACCGCAAAGTTTGCCCTAGTTTTGTCGACTTGCGGTCGACTAGCAGCTTGCTCGACAGCTCTATGTCGAGTTTGTTGTCGACCTCTTCATCTCGACCATCAAGTTGATGTGTTTCAAAAGTTTCAATTGCACTCCAAGACAAACACGAAACCTGTAGAATTGAATCGACTTTGAGAGCTTGAACATCTATGAACAAATTTTTGAGAGGTTCATTCATTTTCTTCGTTTGACATCTCATCATAGAACCTCAAACATTAGCAAGTGGATCATGAATGACTCTTTGAGCTTGAACTTGATTATACGAGTGAACATCCTGTGCCCTTGAGCTTGATCACCTAGGATATCCACATCAATATTGGTGGTGGCATTTTTTTGTATGTGCGAAGTGTATAACTGATGACATGCATCAAGGAAAGCATGGCTAATAGCATTAGCCATTGTTGCATCTTGATCTGTGAAGATAAGCGTTAGCTGCTTGTTGCTCATTGATGCCTTAAAAGTCTCAAATAACCAAACAAAAGAAGGAATAGTTTCATCAAGAAGAAATGTACAACAAAACAATATATTATCCCAATGATGATTTACTCCAATAAATAGGGCACAAACCATGGTATACTTATTTGTCCGAAAAGTAGTATAAAAAACCACAAACATCTCAAAAACAGTCATAATTAAACTTGGACATTGCATGTCTCCAAAATATATTAGTTAACCGATTTTGGTCACCAAGCTTGCTTATCCATAAAATAGTTTGAAAGAGCCTGAGCAATTCCAACTTCAAATAAATTCATTCTTGTTCTATTCACATAATTGTTAACATCCCTTTTAGTGGCCAGAACATTTGTTGGCCCAACACCTGCAACATGCAAGGAATCAACCACATCTTTCGTAACATTTGAAAGTATTCTCCTCGACCTTAACAAATGGACATTTGCTCTGGTAAAGCCAATACATGATTATGATCACATTGAAATGAATAATTTCCAAATTCCATTTTCAATCTTAAATGTCACATAAGCCTTACATCGAGTCCTAGTATCACAATCTTGAAAACCTTGTTTTGAACAAACAAAATTTCTTCCAGAAACCTCTTGTTGTTCCATACTTATATCACATTTGGTGATGCCGTATGCTAAAACCTTTATGTAAGGCATACTTGTTGTAGATATTGTATGCTTGTTTCTCAATGTGCACCATCATCCCAAGTTTTAATTGTAGCCCACCATCAACATGCACTATTACAACTCCCTGAACTTCTTGTTCATTCTGGATTTTATAGGTTTGTTCAACACCAAGTGTAAGGTTCAAATCGATCACTCTAAGGAGATTAACATAGAAAGATTCAAATTGCATATTAGAATTTAATTATTTAATTTACAAAATAGATTTACAGAATACTAATATGGAATGAACAATAATGCATAATACTCCTTAGGTTAATGTAGGCCACGTTAAAGAGCCAAGTTTTGCTTATCAAAGTGGAATTATGACTGAAACTTCATTTCAATAAATGCAGGTGGAAAAAGCAATTGAACCGAACAAACAAAAAAATAGAGAGGAGTCAAAACATGCCCACTGCTGTCAAGACTACACTTTAGTGGACACTGGACAACATTAGCCACTTCTTTGTAATAATACCACTATGACAACTAATAAATTACTAGTGTCATTGTAGGTTAAATTTCTTACAGGATCGAAACAGAGAAGGGAATGCAAACAAATTTGTTCCTCAATTAACTTCACAGTTCACAATGAAATAGAAAAATAGAGGGACCTTTTTGTCATAGAAAAATATGAGCAATGACAAGAACTCAAAATTATAAAATAAAACCCAAATTAAGTATTTAAAGTCAAAAGAAAATTGACTTGCATTGGTTTAAGTCAAAAAGTAGCAAAGCACTGGAATTTTAGGCATAAGAAATAGCTTATAATTTGGTGAAATTCCTAGGGAAACAAAATCAACAAATTGAGGATGAATCTTACCTTGGTTATGTTGGGAGTTTTGATCGACTTCAGAAGATGCCATTAGCTGGAGTTGGTGCTCTGATTAATTGGCAAGGTTGTATGATGAAGAAACACCTATACGAGTAGCCCAAACATCACAGTCCAAAAATTAGTAGAAAAACAACGACTAGCAAAACTAAATTTTGGGGATTATTTTCCCGCTTCTTTCTTCATTGATCGCCATCCTAACTCCTCTTCCGGCGACGATCGTGGAAGAATGGCGTGAATAGTAGGAGATAAATCCACAAGTGATTTTGATTTAATATTAATGTCACCTAATTAAAAACTGCTCTCCTTCTCTCTAAACTAAGAGAGAGAAACATCCTCTCTATGGAGAGGCCAAGTGCCAATTGTACACTCAACCTCAATACTTGTTGCTGATAATTCCCCCTTGTCCTTTGTCGTCCCAAATGTGCTTGAATAACCAAAATACCACCCCCAATCACACTTTTTTAGTGTTTGCATGCAGGATTTAATCCGAGATTTGGACAATTGGCCAACATGCAAATCTAAGGAATAAGCCAATTTGCTTCGGGCTCAATAATTAATTTGGAAAATCAGCCCTCCAAGAAGATTGAGGCCAATTTAGCTTTTTTTTTAACTAGATCTGAGAGACGGTTTGTTTATTTGGCTCAAGGCTGAAAGTTGATTGCCTTGTAGCCTTCCCAACCTTTTCATTGGAAAGGGTCCTTTGTTTTCTTCCAACACTGTCAACCTTGATCTTTGTTGGTTTATACCCCTTCCAACTTCCTCATTAAATTCTCTGCGATACTTCTCAAATTCCTTCAAAATATTCTTCACAATTTATATTCTTATTGGTGTGAACTAATGTTACAACTTGGCACCTTCTTAACTTCTTCGGTTTTATTTACTCGAAAAGTCCAAAGCAGCCGAATCTGGGAATCGGTAGTGCATTAAGTATAAAAACTTCCCAATCATCAGACCTGACCTTCTACATATCAGATCAATATGAATTTCTCACATGCAAGTGAGAATTCTGCTTCTAGTGTCTACATTCCTCAAGAGGAATTATCATCCAGTTCATGATGTAAATCCAAATATGGTTCATCATCCGCGCATTCGTGTCACAAGCATGCAGATCTCGCCGGCGGCTGAATCACTGTTAGCAGAAAATCAGTCACTATCGCTACTGGGATATCTGATTGATGACAGATATTTCAATGGAGAACAGATGCAAACCTATCTACATCGAAACTGGGCGGTGTATGCAAGAGTGACACACTATGACAGGAATTTATTTGTCATCCGGTTTCTTAGTAAGACGGATCTACTTGCATCCTTCGATAATGGGCCTTATGCAGTGCATGGTGGGCTCCTGATTCTCAGAAGGTGGTATGAAGATGATGATATAGTCCTTGGTCAAGTTCGAATCACAAAACTCTCTATTTGGGTGAGGTTACTCAAGACTCCCCTATGGAATTACAATTGGAGAGGAGCCAAGGAGTTGGCGGAACATCTTGGAGAAGTAGAGAAAATAAAGGAGGATTATTTCTCTCTCCAAAAGGCGACTTATCTCAGGGCAAAAATCTAGGTAAAACCGGCTAGTCCCCTTACTCTGGCCTTCCATGCAGTATCTTCAAGGGGCACTCCTAATCTGGTAGAGTGTCGATATGAAAGATTGCACAAATTCTGTAGGAGGTGTGGCAGATTAGGTCATCCAAACCACATATGTTCGATTGTTTTGGATGTGGCACTGGAGGCCTTTTTGGATGATCACTTCAAAGCACAAGCTGCCAGAAACAATGCCCCGATATACTGGAATGAGCTTAGGAAGATGTTTCCAGAGACAATGAGAGCAGATGGTCACAAGAACAGGCGTTGCACCAGATTGATGGCGACGTTTCTAAACAAAACCAGAGGTTATTATTCTCTAATTGAAGAGGATAAGATTCGAGATGGCTTTCGTATTACTATGGCTGAGGACCAAGGTTTCCAACCCATGAACATTGATCCACCCCCAGAGGATGACGATGAAGGTGATGAAGGAGGGAAGGATGGGGATGGAGACTAGGGACAGGATGGCAATGAGGGAGGCAATGATGACTCGGGGCAGGGTCTGAATGGTGGTGGCCAAGAAGACATAGATCTGGGGGATAGAGAAGACAATGAGATGCATGATGATCCATTGAATGAAGGAATTCAACCACCTTTTGAAAATGGTTTCCACCAAGGTCCAGAGAACTCAACGCCATCAAGCACGGGAGAAAGAGGTAACTCTCCAAACAGTGTTTTATCCTGGAATTTAAGCTATGCTACGAGTTTAGCTGAAGAGGAAATGGTTGATGATAATGAAACCTTACTGGATTCACAAAATGGTAACTCTGGAAGAATTAGAGAATGGTAATGAGGAATTTAATTTGTCTAATCATTATTTTCATGAATTAACTGTGGAGAGAGTCCAAAATGCTTCTCAACTTGTTATGGATGTAAACGGAGATGGTACTCAAATTATAATGTCAGCACTAGAATCTGAGTCTATTGACAGAATGAAGAACTGGAAGGGAGTAATGAGTCTTGTCCCCTAATCCATTAGCTGTAGGGTTTGATGAATTCCCTGAGTGGTGGAAATCATGGGGTTTCTTTTGTAATGCACATAAGAATAGTCTAGTAGAGGATGAACAACAACAGGAATGTCAGGTTAAAGAGTCAGTGTTAGTAGAAATGTCTTAGGAAAGTGTGGACGACTAGATGGCTAGTTACCAATTAGAAGAGCAGGCTTCCCAGTACTTCAGCAGGATACTCATGCAAGGAAAGCAAATCAACAAGCTGGAGGAAGACATAATTCTGAACTAGCCTTTTCAGAGTTCTACTTCAGTTGTACAATCCCAGATTACTACTATTGCGATCCACTTAGACAAAGGCAACATTGGACCAGTCAGGCAGAAGACTCTTCAGGCAAGGATCAAGAAGCTTAAGAAGACTGGTGTGAGTTTTCAAGTAAAGAAGAAGAACCTGATGCAACTAAAGCAGCAGTTCCAGCAACAACATAGAAATCAAGCTTTACCGGGAGATGAAACAGGGTCGAATGTCAACAGGCAACTCCAACAATCTTCCCGCAGGACTCTGGAGAGACTTAGCAGGTGGAAGAGGCTAGTTAAACCAGGGGGGACAAGGAAGAATCAGGGAAGATCCACAGATCCAATTAACAGGGCCATTGCCAACAAAAGAGTGAGACCAGTGACTGACACTGAAGAAGAAGAGTTGTAGATGCTGAAATCCAGAAGAATGAAAAATAGAGATGGCAAGCGCAACTCAGCAGCAATTACTTTTCTCATATCTGATTTTGATAACAAGTTGATGGTGCAGGGAGCGCATCAGGGACTTGCAGTGGTTGATCCTAAACAACAGCCTCAGGCTCCATGAGAGTACTTAGTTGGAATTGCAGGGGTATAAACAATGCCGCAACTAAACAAGTGTTATGTCAATATTTCCTTAGTTTTCTTTTTTTTTTTTTATGGAAACCAAGATGGTTTCTAGTAGTTTGGATATTTGGCAATAGGGAACATGTTTTAGGAACTCCATTGTAGTAGATCTAGTAGGATCAAGTGTGGGATTAGCCTTATTTTGGGTAGACGGAATTTCGGTATCCTTGTTGTTTAAGTCTAGTAATGTTATTGTAGTTAAGGTGAGTGAAGCAAGGGGGTTAGAGTTGGTAGCTATCTTTCTATTTGGATTTCCTTCTCGTCAAGGGAGATCAAAATTTTGGGCTGACTTGAATAGCACTCTTCTTCCTTTGTCGTATCCTAGTATAGTTATAGGAGATTTTAATCAAGTAATTAATCAAGAAGACAAATCGGGTGGTAGAGCAGTTAAGGAAGGTGGCACCAACTCTATCAAAAGCTTCCTGAATAAACATGAACATGAAGAATTGCGTCACTTGGGACGTTGGTATACTTGGACCAACAATAGGCAAGGTGACCAAACTATTTACGAGAGGTTAGATAGAGCCTTTGTCAACAAAGAGTGGTTGCAAGATTTCAACAAGGCTGTCATTTGGAACTTGCCAATTTCAAACTCTGATCATGGTCCAATCTTAGTGGATTTGAAGGACCAAACAAAATCCAAGAAGAGAAGGAGACCTTTCGAGCAGTTTTGGGTGTGTTGCAAAAGAGCCAATGAGATTGTTAACCAAACCTGGAAAACAGATGGCTAGGAGCATAAGAATGATCAACTTGCTATGCCTTCCAGATTACAAAGGTACCTCAACATTCTACAAAACTGAAGTAAGGAAACTTACGAAGACATGGAAAACAAGTTCAAAAATTGATGGAAGAAGCCAATATTCAACAACAGTTTTGGGAGGAACATCAATATGATGATTAAGCACATGAGAAATTGTTACAGCTAAAAAAGCAGTGGAAGAAACTCTGAGTATACAAGAAGATTATTGGAGACAACGAGCTAAACTGATCTGGCCTGTTCAAGGGGAAAAGAATACAAGTTTCTTTCATAAATGGGCATCCCGAAAAAAAGGGAACAAATGGATCACAGAATTGAGAGACAGTGAAGGAAATTGGATTCAAGAGTCAGACCAAGTTAGACAGCTAGTTAACTTTCATTTTTCAGATGTGTACACTTCTCCACCAGAGCCATATGTTCCAGAAAGGGATGGTTGGTCCCTGAGAGACCTACTAGGAAGTATGGAGGAAACACTGTCACCACAACAACAACAGTTTTTAGCAACCGCTTTCACAGAAGAAGAAATGTGCCAAGCTCTCAAGGACATGTCACCTTGGAAATCTCCGGGGCTGGATGGAATGCCAGCGGGGTTCTACCAATCATAGTGGAAGGACATCAGACATAAGGTAGTAAGTAAAAGCCATCCTTGGGGTGACACAATCTGCTGATCTGCCAAGGGAATAGAATCAAACACCTGGTGTTCATACTAAAGAAAGCAAACCCAAAAACACCAAACGATTTTCGGCCGATCACTCTATGTAATATGAAATATAAGGTCATCACCGAGATGATTACAAATAGACTGAAGTCTATTATGAATGATCTGGAGTTTGGGTTGCTACTGTTAAAGTAGACATGAACAAAGCTTATGATAGGGTCTCCTAGGGTTTCCTTGAGGAAGATCTGATCAAACTAAAATTCCCACTTCCATTAGTTGAACTGATCCAGCAATGTGTCTCCTAAGTCCCATACTCAATCTTTTTCAATGGCGAACAATCAGAGTTTGTTTCTCCAAGCAGAGGACTCAGACAGGGTTGCCCCTTGTCTCCTTATTCATTTATTCTCTATCATTAGGCCCTGTCATCAGAAACCAGATTAGAACTAAGAAGGTTGCCGGGTTTAGGGATCAAAATTAGCTCCCCAACCTCCAGAATTAGTCATCTATGTATGCCGATGACAGCTTGTTCTTCCTGGAAAGCAAGGAGGACTTAGTAAAAGTGTTGGCTAATCTTTTAAAGCAATATGCAAGATTATTAGGACAGAAAGTAAACCATGACAAGTATTCAATCCTGATGAGCTCCAATACTCCACAGCATCAAAGGGATCTTCTGCATCAGGTTCTTGGTATTTCTTCCACAAATTTTTAAAGTAAATATTTGGGGGTGAGTATAGATTTTATGGAATGGAAAAAGGTAATCTTTGATGAATTCATAAGGAAGCTTAGCAGCAAATTAGGGGATTGGAAAACAAAAATGCTATCCCTGGCAGGAAGAGTTACCTTAGCCAAATCAACTCTTTCATCAATGATGGTTTACCCCATGGGGGTATTTAAACTCCCGAAAGGTACATTACAGAAGGCCAACCAGAGCATTGGCAAATTCATCTGAAATGGTGATAAGGAGAACAAGGGCATCCATTGGAGATCATGGTCAAAAATTTGCAGGTCGTCTCTTCATGGAGGATTATGGCTAAAATCAACATAGGAATTTATGAAGCTCTACTTGCAAAGCATGCTTGGAAAATCATCTCAGCCCCATCATCCCTGATTTCTAGATTCTTCAGAGGGAAATATCACAAAGGCCAATGTTTCTCTGTGCTGGATACAAAGGCTAACATTTCTTGGGGATATAGAAGTATTTTATGGGGATATGAACTGATTAAGGGAAATATAAAGTGAAAGGTCATCTCGGGAAACAACATCAAAATCTGCGAGAATTGAATCCCAAACCAGGACAATCCAATTTCTGAAGACTCAATCTTGGCGACCAATTCCGATCTGCAGGTCAAGCATTTAATCAGCCCTAATGGTTCATTGAAAATGGCTACTAAGAAAGAACTTTCCAACTCATGTAATCCCTTGTATACAGGGGATATTCATAGATCCAAATCTGAGCTGACAAGATAACAGATTAATTTGGAAATACACTGAGCATGGTAACTACACTGTTAAATCAGGTTACAAGATTGCTTACAACAAAGATCATCCACCGGACTCTATTAGAGCAGACTATGAAAAGAAGGCCTAGAAAAGGCTTTGGAAAAGCAAAGTTCCTCCTAAGATGAAACTATTGATTTGGAGGGGAATTTATGATGCTCTTCCAATAAGAGAAGGCCTTCAGAAAAGAGGAATTCTTGAAGAAATGCAATGTTTAAGCTGCCAAATGGAACCTGAGAGCACCTCCCATCTCTTTCTCGACTGTGAATATTCCAAAAGACTATGGAGGATCTCCACTCTGGGATTCAACTTTGATAACGGAGTGAGAAGGAACTTCAAAGATTGGTTTTTGGAATGGCTACCGCAGTGCACCAGATGAAGATTCAATTGACCTATCCATTTTTATAGTGTGGAACCTGTGGATAAACCGAACCAAGTGCGGAGAAACCAACAAGAAGACACTTTACAACTATGGCACCAAACTAAACAAGATTTTAGCCTACATAAAAGTCTCTCCAAGAAACTAGGAGCAATTCCCACATTCCTGCGCTACGGCCAGAAGAGATCATGAGCATGGACAACCTAAACACTGGAGGACAGCGATTTGACATTTTCATGGATGGTTCCTTCATTCCTAATTCTAACAATGCAGCAGGAACATGGAAGTTTGCAAACCATCATGGGATGATTGTTCAAATAAAATCCAGCAAGTTTAATGGCTCTTTCTCCCCTTCAAGCAGAAGCCACAACACTGCTCTCGGTACTTAAAGAGGCATGTCAACTGGACATCCAACAAATTCATGTATACACGGATTGTGAATTACTCACCAAACACCTAAATTCGGCTTCAACTACAGTAGAAGTTCAGGAACTATTTCACCAAGTAGATAGGTTAGTAAAATGTTTTAGCTCATGTAAAATATTTAAAGTACCTAGAGATAGTGTTAAGGAAATGCATAATATAGCATATAATCTAGCTAAATGTAATAGTGTAGGATTAAGTTTATAATATTTCAGGTACCCTTCAAGAAAAAAGATTTAATATTATCTCCGGGAAGATTAAACAAATGGGCTGGAGAGGAAATATATTAAAAACACGTGTCGTTCTAAGATTGGACGGGTGCACCGCATTATCCTGTTGAGCTGGTGGAGATAGTGCACAGAATCATTGAGATTCACATAACCTTATATCTCCACTATTAGTCGGATTGCACTCTCCTAATCACGAACAAATCTTGCTTTGGAAAATCGGTCACTGCCGAATATTCAGTGTGAAGACATAAAAATAATCAACCCTCACTCCCTCAGTAATGTACTTTCTTATTTAAGGCCTTCCACTTGGCTAAATAATTCTCGAGTATATGAAGGAGCTAGGAATAAATGGCTTACGTAGTAATTGTGATAATTTGTAATAAGCAGTAACTAGATGTTACACCCACACGATGTGCGGGGTAGATCAATGTGTTTTAATCACAACCTTTATAATAATAATTCTTAAAATTTTAGAAACAAAAATATTATGACATAATACGCGAAAAATAAAACTCCCTACTAAGATAACTTAAATAAGATGTAGAGAAAAGAAAAATTGCATAACTTCGATCGCACCATGTAGACATTCTATTGTAGTTTTTGGTGAACAGTGCTTCTTCACAATTAAATCATCAAATTGAGTGATCTAAAAACAGTTGATAAAATATTTCCGCAGAAAAAGAGCAAAACAACCATAAATAATTAAAAGATTGAAGATAGAGTCAAAATATGAATAAATTCAAAAGATGAGAATTCCACAAATTTTCTTAATAAAAAAATTCATCGGAATTATTGCCAAGAGCTTAACAAAATGAAACACGTACCAGGGAGTGGAAAGGATTTTGAGAGGGAGTGGAGAGGATGTTGAAATATATATACAAACCATGATTATAAGGATTAATAAAATGGTATCTTTTTTAAATTAGTAATAATTAATATCATACTTTGAATTTGGATTATTTTTTAAATTAAAATTATATAACTCCAATCTTTTTCGTTAATAATTCGTCATAAGTTTAGGAGGTCATCATTACCGTAAAACATTATCATAAAATCAGTTTGACTTTTGAATTTTGATTTAGTTCATTTTAACCACATCTTAATTATACTAAATAATGAATCTGGACGTGATTTCAATAAATAATGAATATGACCAAGATTTGATCCTTTTTCTTTTTTGGTATTATCCGTACATTAAATATAATTATTTAAAATAGAATTGGTGTATTTAATATTAATTAATTTTGGTAACTATGATGATTGGGGTAATTTGATATTATAGATATGTGATAGGGACTATTGGTAAATTTTAAAACTATTTTATATCTAATTTTTAAGAATTTGCCACGTAAGATTTTATCCTACGTGGCGATGTAGGAATTCTCCTTAAAACCTCTCACTAGTTTCTGTATTAGTATAATAATATAATAGATGGAAGGTTTATAGTTAAGGCTTCTTTCCCTCAAAAAAACTGTCCACCATATGAAAGCTTTGCCATAGAACTTGGAAATCAGAGCATAACTACCCTTGGACATTTTCATGCACAATGCATTCGTCTATTAGTTCTGAACGACTGACACTAAAATTTTGTGGGATCTCATTATTAAGACTGTGGGCAAATTGCGAATGAATGGACATCAATTTACCTAATATTTTGGGTAAAAGGGAAGTTTATGCTTGGAAAGCTAAATATTAGTTTAATGTGAAACCTTAACGAAAACTAAATAATTACAGTTTTCGTCTTTATAGTGGCAGATAGAAACTTGTTCAACTTACACTAGAAAACGGATGTAGGGATCGACTTTTAACCAAGAAGATTAGTTCCATTTTGATTTGAAAACATAAGTAAAAATTTTCAACGGTCGTTAAGCTTTTTTGCAAAAAAAAAAAAAAAAATCAATCTTCCTATAGGTTTAGTGAAAAACTAATGAAAGCCCAGAGAATGTGATTGTTACATGAGTTTTGAGGAGGACACTAGTACTTTCTCGTGTGTTGCATGATTTTTTTTTTTTATATTGTTAAATATGATTAGTTGAGTGTTTCATGACGATCGTTATCATAGATCATATAAAGAAAATCAATACTATACCTTCTCCTTCTCAACAAAAATATTCCAGAACCAGAGATGATATGTTGTTTTCTATTTTAGAATTTTTTTTATTTTGATAGTTTTTATTGTGATTTTCATATGCTGTATCGAAAATATCTTGTTTATAAATCTCATTAAGGTTTTGAATTAATAGTTTTTTTTATAATTTTCATATTTGTGATGTTAATAGTTTTTCTGATATTGTTTTCTTTTAACTGGTCTATTAATTTGGAGGAGAAATCATCAATCTCATTAAATTATAAGTCAATATGTAAGCGGGTTAATTGGATTATATATGTTTTACAGAATTACGTATTTACATTTTACCATTATATGAAAGGCCTTAATTAAAAGATTAGCCATCTTTTTTTGGAAAAGAGATAGTATTGCCTCTGTATTAATTAGTTGGCTGCGACAAATTTTTACTCTATCATAAAGAAAGGGAAAAATTAGTGAGAATTGGAATATATAGGAAAAACATAAAAGGGTAATAGAGGTAACTAGAAATAATATGCTCTCTATATGGCAAATTTGCTCTAAATTTTTCAGTTGAGGATTATATCCACAAAGTTAATTAAGAGCGACGAAGACATTATGAGCTGATGAAAATTATAAAATAAAAACAAAAAAATTGAAAATTAAGTATCGGTTGTTACTGCCTTGTTCTCGTACCCTTATCTATTTAAGGTTCTTTTTTTATGTGTTTCTCCTTAACCCTTTCCGGGTTAAAAAATATTATAATAAAAAATTCCATATGATGATAATCATTTATTTAACTTTCATAATCTAGAACTATCCTTAACGTTTACCATATCACTATCTATTGACTCTGGTTCAGTTGCAGCATATTTGTCCCATGTTCGGTGTGCACGCTTTTCTTTATATTAAAAGTAAATAAATTCTTATAATTATTTTTCTTCATCGAAAAGATAAAGAGTAATGTTTGGTGGCAGGAATATTTGTTTATGTTTGATATGATCTTAGGTTTGTTTTAACTCAAATACTTGTCGTTTCACTTTTCCCCACAGAAAATTGAAGCTTTTTTTTTAATCCCGTTGGATCCTTTTATTTACGATAATCTTACCGCAACCGCGAAACAATATTCATTTTGTGAATTAGTTTGCTAAAATAATTAGAAGGAGATTACAATCATCCAAAATTCCAAATCTCTTTATGACTATTATATAACGAATATAATCTTATAATTTCTAGGGAAGTGATTTCCTCTTTAATACAGTATATTACAACACCAAAAACAATGTATTCCAATTGACAGACTTTGGAAAGTGACTTTGACCTTTAATAATACAGTTTATTAGTGTGTGTGACCAATCAATATCGGATAACACAACCTTGCACAATAATTATACTTTAATGAAGTTTAAACATAATTGAATATTGTCCTTGAGGAGAAAAAAATATCTTCATCAATTAGTCATTTTTGAAAAAGAAAAACAGTTTAACAAATTTTGGGGGCTGAAAGATATATTTTCCATCGGTTTGACAATTTCAGTCACAGCTCAGCAATGAAATCATTACCCTCCGGGGGAAATATATTTTTTATTTCGAGAAGATGCATTTTCCAATAGAGTTCTACTAATGTTTATCCATTTAAAAGATAAAATTCTAAGTTTTGACAGAGAGCTCCAAAATTTTACACTCTAAAGAGTAAACGAGAACCAAAGTAAGGTGTTAAAAATTATTCTACCCTATCACAAAAAAATAGTCTTAAAAAAAGAAAAATCAAAGTGGACAATTTTTTTTTAAGAAAAAACAAAGTAATCAAAAGAACTATTGATCCGACTAGCTCACATGAAGTAATAAGTATTAATCAACAAATGAAGATAATCCATGAACGCGATGAAGATTTGAACTAACATTTGAAAAAAAATAGATGAATTGCACTAGACAATTGAAAAGACATGATCAATTCCAACAAATAATTTCTACAGTTTTTTGAAAGACAAGAAACAAAAACAACTACTTGTTGGTTTATCATCGGAATCAAGCTACCATGCTAAAATATTTTTAAAAAAAAACAAAAACAAATCTAAAAGTTGCTAGCTAGAAACATTATGATTATCATCTTCTCCTACCTCTACCTCTGGTTTCTCATTAAGATCAAAATCACGAATCTTACGTCCTGGTTTCACTCCATCATCATCATCAGGATTACTAGCAAATTGACTTGATGAGGAACCTTCTGGCATAGTATAATGGCACCTCTTGTGACCTCCAAGTGCTTGACCACTTAAAAATGTTTTACCACAAATCTCACATTTGTGAATGGTATTTTCATTGGGCGCCACCTTCATCACTCCATGACGATCACCACTTAAAGGTATGACTGAAGGTACAAAAAGTCCATGTCTATAACCATCAAGTGGTTGTATCACTGCGTTTTGGACACTCATCTTCACCTTATTATGGCTGGATCTATGACCACCTAAAGCTTGGTGGCTCGAAAAAATCTTGTTACAATCACTGCACGCATGTTTTTCGGGAGTGATTGTTTGTTCCAGTTCCATTGATCGCTGCCTTTTTTGTACATTAATTCCATTGAAATCATCATAATCATACCTCATTTGAGCATCACCTCTAGAAGAATTAGTACCCTTACTATTCCATTCATCTTCTCCATCGGTTTCTTCAGAATCATTACTGGAATCATCATCAATCGAAAAATTCTCTCTTTGAACCTCATGACCAGTGACTACTTTTTCTCCAGAGTTTACTAATCTTAACAATTGTGTAACAGCTATAACCAATTTCTTTCTTTCTTTATAATCTGAAAGTGAATCCATCCCCATATCTATATTCATCTTTACCACGGCGTCTCTCCCTCGCTTGCCGGTAGCTCCCCAGCTATCACCCAAAACATTACTCAAATCCCTTACATGTACATCATTATCCACGGGAAAAGTATTGTCTTCGTGCACTTTGTCAAACACTTTCTCTTCGTCCTCATTAGAGTAAAAATCAAGATGATGGTCAGGTTCCTCTTCCTCGTCCTCATAATCATCAACAACAGTAGAAGCTGTGGTGCAAATCCGAGATCTTTGATGTTTCGATTTTGAAGAAGGAGGCTCCATACCTCTCCAATCCCTCTCAGGATGGCATCTCATATGACCATACAAAGACTTGCGTGAAGGAAACTCCTTATTACAAAGCCTACAAACATACCTCTCGTCTTCTTCATCACCATCTTCTCCATCATATTTATCCAAAAAGCTTTCAGATTGCCTCATCTTGAGCTTCCTGAGATGATCTTTAGCCTGAACATGAGCACTACTCATATGACCTCCTAAAGCTTTCCCACAAGAAAAACCCTTATTGCATTCTTTGCAAAAGTGAGAATACTTCTTGCTATTATTCAAAACCACCCGACTCTGATTCTCATCATCATCAGCAGCTGCAGCTGAACCTGATCCGTAACCCGAATCTCGAATTTCTTTGGGGGATTTCTGATTATTATTAATCCTCAGCTTGAACAACAAATTATTACCATCTTTATGAGGATGAACTGGAACTTGAATAGGAGGAGAAAGAGGAATATCTTCGGTAGGAAATTCAGCTTCAATCTTTGAAGATCCAGCTGACCCGCGGACATCGAAACCAAGATCTTCATCCGGGTTCTTTCTCCCACGTTCATCTTGCTGCCTATCCAAGCTGTTGAAATCCATGGGGGTAATTGAATAAGAATTAAACAGGAAAAGAGCCAAAAATTGATATGAAGGGAGGAGAAGATATATGGAAGGCGTTTGAGTGACAGCTACGATGACGATGAAGGGATTTATATGATCAGTGAGGAAGAAAAAATAAACTTGATAAGAAGGAAGGAGACGAACTGTGGAAGGCGTATTTGAGTGACAGCGATGAATCAGAAAACCCTAAAGAAGAGGAGAAAGGAAAGAAAGCGACTGTGGGGAGAAGACTGGAAGAGTCAAAAGAGTGAGGCAACTCAACCAATGATTTGCAAGTACAAGGCATCATCTTTTTGGTGAAATTTTTTTATTTTTTTATTTTTTTTTATTTTTTTTACTTTACCGAAGGTAATGTAGTAAGATTTGTGTATAATATATATATATATATAAGGTTAAAAAAGAAAAAGAAGGTAAAAGGGAAAAGGAAATTAAGTCCTTATCAGTTGTATAATATTCGATTCAGACTTAATTACTTACTTATCTAACAAGGAAAGATTTCTGCATAATATCTCCTTCATTATTATTTTACTTCGAATTTAATGTATGAGTTTTAAAATTAGTTTACACTTATTTCTCCCGTTGTTCTCCACTCGTCATTGCTTTTACCGTGTTCCATTCACTTATGCCTATAGTTTTAAAATGCAAGAATTTTATTTTGGAGAAAACATAACATTAATTTGTAATACCTCACTCTGGAAAAACGGAATTATGGTATTTGGTTCTGATTATTACTAGTGATGTCTGGTCGCGCAATGCGCGACCCTGGCCCAATATATCTATAGATCTTAGAAATGTTTGTATTTGAAAAAACATATTTTGCATTTGGCCCGATATATTTTAAAAATGTTTGAAGAATTTAGAAATGTTTTATAAGTATGATCATAAAAACGATTGTATTTGGTAAAAAAAGAAATTGTATTTAACCCGGTACGTTTTAGAAATGTTTGAAGATTTTAGAAATGTTTTATAAGTGTTACTTATTAAATATAATAAACTTGATCAAATATATGTCTTGAAGTAAATGTTAGACAAAATATAAAAGTATCCTAATAAGTTTAAATATTAGTAAGATGTTTTATTGATGTTCTCCGTTTTTCATGTCGAATCAATACTTAGTTTTGGAGATTTATAATAGCTTTGTAGTAAGCTTCCTCCGAAAGGTATACGTTCAATTGTTGGAACTGTTTCTTCCAAAGGTTTATAGGTAGTAAAATATAAAAATATGATTTTGAAACTGGTTAATTGTTGAAACTGGTTGATCAAAAATATGAGAATGAAAATTAATGTAAATTTGCATAGGTTCCAAGTTATAGCAAAAAAGAACTCACCTCACCATGACAAATAAAAAAAAAGTAAGTAAAAGAGCCATTGAAAATTGAGAAATTATTTTTTCCTGTAGGTAAAAAATGATGTATAAAAACACAAATAAATGTAGAAACATCATTCCTTCCCTCTCCACCTCAAATTCATAAAATGCTTCCCCATAAATTAGTTAGAAGAAGCGACCTGAACTATTTATATGATGAGTAACTCAAAAAAGTCCAAAAACCAAATCCAAAAAAGTATATTCTTGAAAGCCCGAACACAAAAAAAAAAAAAAAAACAAAGCGCTTCATTTGCAAAAAAAATAAAATAATAATAATAATAATAATAATAATAATAATAATAATAATAATAATAATAATTGGTCAATTGGGAGGATGAAACAAAATAAAAAATAAGTAAACAAAGAAAAAACACAATTCATAACTGATCATATACGGAAAAAAACTGAGACTCCATAATTAAAAAAAACCACTCTAATTGAATGAAACATAAAAAAGAAATTAAAAAAATCACATTTTGTAACAAAAACCCAATTGATCAATTCAATCCAAACAGAACTAAAATCATACAAAAATTCTAGGCTAACTAACCATATAAGATATCACTTCATATTACCTGGCAACGGCTACGGTAGCTGTAACGGGTGGACGCATAAAAATAATAGTAATAACACTATTCTTGAACGGAAAAAATAAAAAATAATAAAAGTCGTACAAATGATCTGTGGATATAAAATCATTTGAATTTTAATATCTATAATGGCACCACCATAACGGCCGAAGCAAGATCAATGAGAATTTTATTTTTTTTTCCCTTTGTGTTTACATAGAAAGGTAAAGAGAATATTTTTTGAAGTCAAAATTTTATCCGATTAGGATGTAGTTGATCATAACTAATGAAAAGATTGAACATGCTAATAGGAAAGGAGTATATTTCACCACTTATTCTCAATTGATGATTGATGCGGAATTTGTTTTGTATTTTTTTTTTTAATTATGGAGAAAGAATTGATTAGGGAGTCGATTGTCGGGAGATGGGGATGAGGATTTGGGTTTTTTATGAAGCCGTGATTTTTTTTTTTTGGCGAAAATAGGAGGTAGAGGTGGATTTGGACTGCATTTGCTTTTTAAGTCTAGGAAACTGATGTGTAAATAAAAATTTATTTTAAAAATATGATGTGAAAATGCCACATGGCAAATGGTGGTGCTTTCTCTTGAGTGTGGTTTTTGTTTCTAATATAGTAAGATTGCTTGAGTAGGTTTTATTCATTGTATACAGACTTTAGAGGGAAGAACTTTATTGAGAACGTTGTAGGATTCTAAATTATCTAAAAAAATAATAGGTAAGGGCGAAAATTAATTTGGAAAAATTTGTATAAAAGACAGTGGAAGTTGTTGAATAAATAAAAGGGGTATAACTTTTATATAATTTGTAATAACGACAGTGACTTATATTTCTTAAAATATATAAAAGAAAAAACATTAAATTAACGAGACTACCATCAAGTTCAAGTTTCATATCTATATAATTCTCCATCTTCTCTCCTGAAAAATAAAAATCAAAACAAAAAGAAAAAACCATCTCCGCTTTTTGTTTAAAAATTTCATCTAATCTAATCACTACATTTCTCATCGTTCAGCTAAAATTAAAAAAAAAAGAAAGAAAATCATGAGCATTATCCACGTAATGGATATCTAACGTATTTCCAACAATTATGCTAATCATTCTTAGTTATTCACTAGTAACTCCAATATTCACTTGTAACTGGAGTTTAATCTATAGTCTTCATCAATAATTTTAACTTCGTGTAGTCTAAAATTTTCAGAGTTCTATGGGAAGAGAATGAAAAATTGATTTTCAATAATATTATTACAAACAGAAAAAATATTACATTGTTGCTATCCAAATTTGTTGGGTTATAATTTATGAAATCGAAACAAACCCAAAACACCAAAATATGAGCATGATATAAACAAAAGAGTTTAATTGGAAAAATAGCCATTGGGATTACTGTAAAAGTTTTCATTAATTGAAACAAACATATAAAGTTTAAAAAAGAATATTTTATAACAACAAGTGAACTAAAGGATGGGTGAATTGGCTATACCCTTCGTAATCGCAAAGAAACTGGTAAAACTATATCACAATAATCCCCCTAAATTATTGCTCCAGATGGCAAAAGTTGAAATCAAGTTTTCCAGTATGAAGGTTTTTTTTCGGAAAATATACCTGTATATTAATTAAGAAGTACCTGAACTATTACATCGCATTCTATGAAATGCTAAAGTATGTAATTTTGCAACATCTTGTCTAATCACTTTAATTAGTGAGCAAGACTGAATAAGAAATACTAGTAACTAACAAAGAAACTACCTCCTGGACCTCAGAAGGTATTAAAGTGGACCATAAATATCCAGTCAAAGCTTCATAGTCCGTATAATAAACTTGAACTCGAGTGAACCCTAAATATAGCCCCTCTTTCAAGGCCAAAAGACAAGTCATTGCCTCGGCTTGAAAAGGAGAAAGCACACTTAGATCCACCGCTTTGATTTGTATCACCATACCATAATGTGAAAGAATATTCCAAGCACCAGTCACTTTGCGTGTTTGATGGCTAAACAATCTATCAAAAATTACTAAGGAATCAGCCGGACCCCTCTGTGGTAGCAATGATTGTGTGTTGGGAGAAGGTCTTCCAACTACCAGTCTACCAAGGCTTAGCTTGTGAAGAGTGACTTCAATTTGAATAAGCCTCCAAGATACCGCCGTATCATGAGATTGGTTTCTCCAAATTTTATAGTTTCTTTTCAGCCAGATCCTCGAGATAATGATAAAAAACAAATCAACCTCCTCTTTAGCTGGATGAGACTAAGTCCACTGAATGAACCATCGATGCAAGGAGTCATATGTAGAGTTGAGTATTGAGCCATACTGAGGAAAAGCCAAGGCCCAGATGGCCGGAGAGGCTTCACACTTAAAGAATAAGTGTAAGCTATCCTCTTCCTACCTACCACATCCGGGGCATAATGAGTGCACTTGAACTCCCCTTTTGCATAGTTCTGACCAAGTAGAAAGGGCATTGAGTAATGCTCTCCAGAAGAGAAACTTGTGCTTAGGTTGAACTCTATAATTTCATAGTCGTTTCCAAGTTGATTTCTCTGCATTCTGAATTGCTGGAGTTGGCACGGGTTGTGGCAGGAGAGCATTGATGGCCAATTGATACCCTGATTTGACTGTATAATTTCCATTGTCAGTAAGTGTCCATGGAGCTTTTCCTTTTGATGTAATCTTGTTGGATCTATAAAGATCCCAGTAATGCGGGAGATTATATGATCTGGAAAGAAATTCCTAGCCTGAGTCTTCCATTGATCATTTGGACTAATAAATCAGTCCACATTCAAGTTTCACATAACTGAAATGAAATGAGCCCCAAGGATTCTGAGTATCAGGAATCCAGTTTGCTAATAGAGAGATGTCCTTGCCTGAGATTACCTTCCATTTAGTATGATTCTATAGAAGTTCAGCTCCCCACATGATACTCTTAAAACCCCAGGAGGAAGTTTTGGGAGGTTGTACCGGAGGAAAAGTGCCATTGTTGCAATAGTTGGCACGGAGAAGCCTAGCCAGGAGAGAGCGCGGGGCTGTGAGATTAT